CCCTCCTCTGGACCCTCTCGATGCTGTCCACATCCCGCTTAAAGTGCGGCGCCCAGAACTGGACGCAGTACTCCAGCTGCGGCCTGACTAGTGCCGCATAGAGGGGGAGGATCACCTCCTTGGACCTGCTCGAGATGCAGGCCATCTCCTCCCAGCACACAGTTCTCCACCGCGTGGCTGAGACCCATGTGGTGTGGCACAGAGAGGACAGGAAGGGCTGGGTTGGTGCCTGTCACCAGAAATTCTGTTGAATGTTTCTTCAAAATAATCTGCCATCTGTTTCTGAGTTGTAGTAAGTGCATTTAGGGCTTTCTCATTTCTTTCTAGGCCCTGTGCTGGTACCTTCCCTGAGTCCTAGTTCTACTTGCATTAATTTTTCTATTTAAAAAAAAAATGTTGGTCTTTACACAGAGTTGTGCTCTTCATTAAATAGCTTATAACAGTGAACCTTTCTATATGCATATTTAAAGAAATTTGTCTAAGGAGTGCTACATGGAGGCATTTAGCAATGCAAAATGAAGTTAATTAAATGTGCATATATTTCAGTCTGCCCAGTCTTCAGGAAGGAAAAACTTTACTTTGAATCTTTGAATATGAGAAACTGTGCTGACTTGACTATGTGTTACTAAACTGATTTTAAGCTTGCTTCAAAATTTCTTTGCCAACCTAAGCAAAATCAATATGAGCTAAACATATGATTCAAGAGACTCCAACAGTTTCGTTTGCATCACTGAAAGTTAAAATCAATCAGTTTAAAGATGGATTTTGTAACACATATCTCCATAGAGAGACAGTCTCTAAAGCAAGGACACCACTTAAGTGAACTGGTTAGTATGACTTTTGGCTGCGGAAATAGCATGGATATAACAGCAGAAATGCAGTTAATATGATGCAAAGTTCCCTACTCTAAACAAACTTTTATAAAATGAATAATAATGCATTATTTCTTAATTATTACCTATATATTCTTAGCAGGAAAAATAATATTATAGGCAGCATCCAAGATTCTTTGTAATCAAGATCTGACATGTACTCTGACACCATTGAGGAGCAAATCCCTAATGCACAGCCAGCCCTAGGAGCAAAGGGCAGCCAATAGAGCAGAACTGAGTGACGCAGAGCATGAGCAAGATACTCAAGTGCTGCCTTATACCCTACAAGGGAAGAGGATTCCATGCAATCAGGGACAGCACAGCAAAGGGGCACTCTGATGTATGTCGTCAGAGTTTCAGCTACAGGTGTTAGACAGCAAACCACCTTTCATCACTTTTTGAAAAAAAAATGAACTGCCATGCAAGTGTGCCAGTCTATCTCCATGGTTGTCCTAACAGCCAGCTAATGTTTAATTACTAATTTACTGTTCATTCTTTTGTAACCAAGCCTCTCATTTGCTGTTAGATTTTAATTGGAGTTATGCGTTTCTGTCCCTAGTGTGGGTGCCTGTGAGGGGTTATTGGTGCACTAACTTGATGCTGGGCAGGCACTGTTGTACCTTGGACCTTGTCTCAATGGTATAACTGTTTCCCAAGAAGCAGGACTTAAAAATATGTCTTGTCAGGAGGGTGATCTCAGTGGAATCACAAATTCCTTCTTTTACAGGTCACTTTAAGCTGCAATCAGCCAGCACTAGGAAATGAAGCGCTCATTAAAGCCAAAATAGAGATGTGACTTTCAACACATCCTGCTTTCCGATTATGAACATACATTTCACCTTCCCTAGAAACCTGTTTTTAATGTAAACTATGAATCAAATCTTTCATAAGACCCTGAAGGGTCTTAACAGGAAACAGCAATCTAAGAAGGGAATGCCAGTATAGAAGAAGAGAGTGACATTTCAAAAGTTGTCAAATTTCTTTGGTGTGACATGATGATAGTATTGTCTGGGTGAAAGGGGCTTATAACTGACCTCCAGGAACTGAACCAGCTGATTTACTACTTTCTTACTGTAAGCCTACAATTAAATTGGGTATATTAGCAAGCAAAAGACTGGAAGGGAGGAGAAAAGTACAAAGCAAGAATTAGAGCAAGCTGTTCTGTACTGATAATAACTGCCTGTTCTTTTCTTCAGAAGACAGTAAGAAGAGTATCAGTATTAGAAGTATTAGTAGACCCGTCAGGTTAAAGGACTTATAATAAGTTTTTAAATGCCCTTAACTACATGAGTATCACCACTGTTCATTACCACAGTGCCTTTTAATTCCACATGCCAGCAAATTCTTTTCACTTCTCATGATTTTTTTAATTATAGAAAATGATTAAAAAAAAGACTGCCTATTATTACAGTGTCATTGTGAGACAGACAGTGTGAACTACAGAAGAACACTAAAAGGTTGAAAGCTTATATAATGGTGTGCAACAATACAAACGTGGCATTCCTGTGGAATACCTTAGACTTTTCTTTTGTTAGAGATGTTTTCATCACGGTTCTGATATTGTGTACAGTAGAACAGTGTCAATGCCATCTCACCTTTCAGAATAGAGTTGTTGAAAAGATGAACAGTAATGAAGTAGCTGTTCATTTACTGACTTAACACACCTCAAAAATTCAAGGAACCAGAACCATTAGCATCTCTTTGAACTCTAGTAAGTCAACTAAACAAAAGCATTTGGAGTTGACCTAAATCAAATCTTTCAAAACCAAATACTCTTAACTAGACTGCAACAAATACAAGGCAAAAGTTAGTAATACAGGAAATATATATTTCTATGATTATATATTTAATTGCATCATAAAATCTAGATGGCAAAGTATAATACAACTAATAAAGTTCCTGATGATGATGTTACAAAAGATTGTTCAGTGAGAGTGCTTCTAGAACTCCTCTCTGTCCTATTATTATCCTGCTTTGAGCGTATATTCTCTTTATACAACTTTTGTTGTACACAACACTCGTTGGATCACTTGTTAGGCTTTTAAAGATGCTGTAATTTAAAGAGTATATAGAAAGAAGAGCCTGATGTCTCATGACACCTTTTAATGTAGTCTGAAAGATGTGGATGATCACTGATACTATGTAACTTTTATAAGGTCTAGTTATGTCCTTTACTGGACATTTGGTAAATTATGCTTTTTCACATTCCATTGGGTTAGTTCCAATCAAATCCAACAGGAAGTGTGGCTATTGCGAGACAGTTATTCATCTTTTTTCAAGCCATTTAAAGAAATTCAGGAATACATGAAATCCACAGTTACCTTTTAATTCCAGCTGTCAGGAAGACAGCTTTTCACTTCTGAGATTTTTTTTTAAAAATAGCATAACTATGGGTTGTAACTACATCTTTTTTCTTAACTTGGGTACCTCCAAAAAAATACAGGTATACTGCCAGAAGTGACACTTGGGATTCAACAAACACTCTTGTTTCCAACTCCAATTCTAAAGGTGTTTCAGAAACTAATGGCAATGTCAAAATGAAACAGTTTTATGTACAATGATCATTTACTGGGCCACGTCACTTCTCCACATAGTCACCCTGCTTTGCAACACAGGTATTCCAGCGAGTCACAAGTTTCTTGATACCATCCTCAAAGAAGCTTTCTGGTAGCTGTGACAGCCACTCCTGCACTGCATGTTGCACCTCTGCATCACTGGTGAATCTGTGTCCACGAAGAGCCTCTTTCAATGGTCCAAACATATGATAATCACTTGGTGCAAGATCGGGACTATATGGGGGATATGGTAAGATTTCAAAGCTGAGCCCATGCAAAGTCTCGAGAGTCACCCGTGCACTGTGCAGCCCCACATTCTCAAGCTGGAGAAGAACACCTTGCTCGAGCTTTCCAGGCCGTTTGATCCGAATAGCTGGCTCTAGGTGGTTTTGGAGAACATGGAAGTAGGTGCTGCTATTGACTGTGACCCCACACTCCATGGAGTGGACAAGGAGTGGCCCCAAGCAATCCCAAAAGAGGATGAGCAAGACCTTGCCAGAGGGTGGCTGAGTACGGAGTGTTTTGGGCGGTGGTGATGATGTGCATTTCCACTGCATGCTTTGCCTTTTGCTCTCGGGATCATAATGGTGGACCCAGGTCTCGTCCCCGGTGACAATGCGCGAGAGGAACCCCTCCCCTTCATCTTGTAGATGTTGCAGAAGCTGGGTACACACTTCCACACGCTGTCGTTTATGCACGTCCGTCAGCTGCTTTGGCACCCAGCAGGTACATACTTTCTGATAATTCAGATGATCGTGCACAATGGTGTAGATGCTGCCAGCACTTACACCAACTTCTGCCACTAGTTCAGGAATGCTCACTCTCTTGCTTGCATGCACAGCCGCGTCAACCTTAGCAACGTTGTCCTCTGTTGTGGCTGTATTGGGGCATCCTGCGCGGGGTTCATCTACTACGGATGTGCGGCCATGCTTGAACTTCTCCACCCACTCATAGACTTTCCGTTGGGCTAAGCAGTTCTCGCCATACTGCACCACGATCCGACGGTGAATTTCGCTGGGCGGCACCCCTTCTGCCCACAGGAACCGGATGACAGAACGCTGCTCTTCCTTGGTGCACACCGCCAGCTGCGTAGCCATGTTCTTACGCGCTCGCCAGCCTCACACACGTGTTCGATGCTAAGCGGGGGATGCGCTTGGCAACACCCCATCGACGCTTCCCGCTGCTGGGGCCTTTCCCATTCTGACGCAGCCGCCCTGCCGCTAGTTTCTGAAGCGCCTGGCAGTTCAGAGATGTGGAAAGCTGGGACGACTCCGGCCTTTATTCTGCCCGCCCTACAGAGCCAACGCTTGGAGTGTGCCCCCTGCGCGCCCCAGGGGCGCTGAGACAGACCAGGTTTCTCATGAAGCAGGGCTGGCAAGGGCTGGTGCTGGGCCCAGGCCCGGGGCTCCGCAGGTGCGACAGCAGGTGTGCGCGGGGGGAGGAGGGGCAGGGCGGGCAGCGTGCTGCCTCAGCCAAGCTCGGCAGGGACACAGCGGTACCCCTGGAGGGCCATAGAGAACAGTCCGCCGCGCCCAGAGCGCCTCCCCCTCCGGAGTCCCCCCCCGGAAACAGAAGCACAGGGCGAGGAGCGCGTGCGACTGGGGCGTGCCCTGATTGGCTGCCCTCGGGGCCCGTGTTAGGTTCAAGCGGACGGGGCTTCCGCTTGGGGAAACATGCCTGTGAGTTGTTTACGGGAGCGGCGCGAGCCCCCGCCGAGCGCCCCGCGGGCGGGGGGGTTAACGGCTGAGCTCTAAGCTGGGGGCGAGGCGGGGGATCGTCAGCCCCTCCTGCCCCGCTCGAGGCAGCGCCTTCCGGGGGGCGGGGCCGTCAACGGCGGGAGCTGCGTAGTGTCCTGGCCACGGGCTCCAAGCAGCTGCGGGACGTGGCAGGCCGCGGGGCGCCCGCTGAAGACGGCTGCACTGGGCCGTGCGGGGCTGGCCGTGGCCACAGCCGTTCTCGGGGAGCAGCGATGTCCGCTCTGGCCCAGGCGGTGCGAGACGGCTGCTGCTCCCGCCTGGGGGCGCCGCAGCAGCACGCCCGGCCCGACCCGGCCTGGGACCGCTGTCCTGGCCCGGCGGCTGCATCTCGGCACCGCCGCGGGGCCCCTCGTAGGATGAGGTGGCGGGGGCGGACAGGTGGGCTCTCGCTGTACTTTGTTAACGTAAAATGCAAAGTCAGCAGCCTGAGGAAAAAGGATTTAAAAATGTGAATGCGGCCCCTATGTATACCCCACGCTGGGCTGGACGTAGTGGCTTCAGTTTTGTGCCTCAAACTGCCTTTGCTCACTAAGAACAAAGCAGCACAATGGGGACAAAATGTCCCCATCCAACCCACGGGGGTGGGCTGAACTCTTGTCTAATGCTTGGTGTGTGTTTTTTGCTCTCCTGCCCTAGCTGGCTAGAGATCTGGTGCACCCCTCCTTGGAGGAGGAAAAGAAAAAACACAAAAAGAAACGGTTGGTCCAGAGTCCAAATTCTTATTTCATGGATGTGAAGTGTCCAGGTAGGTGTTCAGGACTGTGATATCTCTGTTTACACATCAACTGCTGAAACTTCCTTAGCCTGATGAAGGGTTTTTGAATCAAAAGCTTGCTTAAAAATTGTTCTCCAACTATTTAAGTTGGTCTACTAAAAGATAGATTTGAGAAGATCATCAAGGAGCACATTTGTGAGGGGCCGGCATCAGAAATGATGCTCAGGGGCAATCAGCATGGTTTTATTAAGGGGAGATCATGTCAGACCAACCTGATTGCCTTCTATGATCAGGTCACAAAGGCCATGGATGCAGGTGTCGCGGTGGATGTAGTCTTTCTGGACTTCAGCAAGGCCTTTGACACCGTCTCTCACCCCATCCTAGTTAAAAAA